ATTTATATCAGATAGGTAAATGTATATGAGGAATTTATGTTTTAAAAATGTATATTGACACAAGAATAACACTTCTGAACTAAACACCAGAAATAGGCCAAACACATAGGGAATGTCTCCTATATAATAAAAGCCTAATATGCAAATTGTCCCCTTGGGAGTTCGACCCTGCTATGACTTGCGCTGACCACATGGCTGGCGTCAGTGACCTGGCACTGGCAGCTGAAGGCAGTGGAGGCAATGCCGGCCCCAATGGGCCCTGATAAGAGCAGGACCACGGCGGGATGGTGGAGCAGGTGAGCAGGTGGCACCAGGCCAAGGAAGGTGCGAGTGGAGATCCGATCACCTGGCAGATGTCGAGCAGAGGTGGCAGCAGGGGGCAGGGCTACCACCTGGTTCCCAGGCACTGAGGGAGCAGGGTGAGGGTGGGGGGTGGGGGGTACTGTGCCGGCCCTGAACAATCACCCTGCAGATGGCGACCAGTAGCTGGGATGGGGAACTGGGGGTGATGGCAGAGACCAACCTCTGAGACCTCTAGCCTGCTACCTGTGGGTGGCAGTGACAAGGACGGATGTGCAGTGACAATGTGGGGTGTCCATAGAGCTCGTTCTCACTCCCCCTGCTACCCTCCCCTGGGACACCAGGGCCCATGTGCTGAGAAAGCCCCCATGCTCAGGTGCCTGGCACTCACAAGGAGCCCGCCCCGCACCTGTGCAGCCTCTTGTGGGTGAGCCAGTTGGGCTCCCTGTGGGTTCAAGCAGGAGCTGGTCTACGAGGCCAGCTGGGAGAGAATGCACTGTTCACCGGCTTCAGTGCAGCACCACTGGGCAGCCCAGAGGCCCACACTGTGCCCTGGCCCATGGCGTCCGGCCACGCTCACCCCATCTCCAGGTGGAGACTTGGGCGCTGTGACTCAGACGGGGGTGCATGGGGGCCCAGTGCCCAGGTGCTGCCCCCAGGTCCCAGAGGTCATCTGGGACCTGTCCTTCCATGCCAGAGGCGCACGCTTAGATCACCAGCCAGGCCTAGGGATCGCACCTGTGCACAAATTTCGTGCAGTGGGCCTCGAGTCATATAATATAATAAAGGCAGAAACTAATTACATTGGATCTGCAATAATTCCATTAATGGCATTGAAACAACTGTTTAGTTGTATTGAGAGAAAAAAAGTGGTATAGCTACCTCAGTCTTCACTCTAAAATGATCTCAGAAAGATTAAAGCTTCAAATGAACCCATAACAGCACTGTAAGAAAATATTAGCAATTTAAAAAATATCGCTGTGGAAAGGTCTTTCTAAGCCAAATACCCAAAATCCACAAGGAAAAATAAATAAATGTAACTACTGCACATTAACATTAAAACTCTTCTGCAGGGAAAGATAAAAAAAATCAAATAGGGAAATGTTTCAACATATGCAGCAACATGTGTCCTTAATTCAAGATAGTGCTTAGAGTTACTAATCCATTAAAAAAAAAAGATGCTTCTAATTGCCCATCATACAAAAAACTGATGCAATAAATTATGGTATATCCATTTTTAATATATGTTTTAAAGAATGTTTACATAAACTAATATAGAAAGTGTTGCAAGGGGATAGTAGTTATCATGTTACTAAAGATAGATATAGATATTTATTTTCCATGTACAACATGGTTACCTTTGACCTTAGCATTATTTCATTTTTATACTTTTCAGTATATTTTCCAAATATTCTATAATAAACATATTTTATAATCAGAAGATGTAATAAAATAATAATAAAATGACAACTTTTCAGCGAAGCATAGTGCGAAGAAAATATACTTAATCACCTTAATTTGTATAAAGCATGAGTAAAGATGAGAAAAACACTCTTATTAGCATCACAGTGGAAAATAACAGCTTCATTATGTTTATCCTTTTCTTTTTAAGTCCGGGCCATGCAAAATTCAAAAACATAATGTAGGAAACTTGATATTAATGTGTACTTGAAAAGTCTTAACTCTATGCTACTTTATTCAAGTGATACAATTTTGTAATGTGCCGGAGCATAACTAAACCACACCTGGTGCAAGGTTGACTTAAACCCTTCCTACTTCTGAGCTGGAGGCCAATCCACTTGGATAGGCTCTTCAAGTATGCTCCCCCCTAAGTATCTATTAACTTCAGTGAAGAGCTCTGATCATTTCCCCAGTTACTCTGTAAAAGCTATATGACAAAAAGGCATCATATGGACTAAACTGCATAACAATCGACAAAGATGCTTTAGAGAATTTGCTGTGTTCTGCATCTCTTGAAGAAAAGTATACTTCAAATTCCATATGCTTGATACTTCAATTCTTTTATTGCTGAAATTTAAAAACATATTAGTACACTACCAAAAATACAAAACATAAAATTTGATGTACTGGTAATGCATAAGTGTGTTGAAGTTATTACACTGCAGATTGTCCTAATACATGGGCCAGTGGGTACAAACACTTCATCGAGTGACAGTTTATACTTTTTTTCCAGGAACCTTCAGTTCCTTTTCAAGCCAGGCTTCTCTCTTATCACATGGTCCCTGAGGCCTTTTGAGGGCAAGGCAACAGCATGCTAGGCCCTCACAGAAATGGGAATTTGCATCATTTGACTATTTGTGTTGTCACTTAGCTTGACACTTGCGGCCATTACCCCTTGCTGCTTAGGAAAGCCCCTCCTTATCTAATTCTGCCACCTTGAAGGAAAAGAGCGAACTTTTGTCCTGGATGCCTGGATGGGAAAGAACTCACAGAGGAAGTGGCCACCACCTCAGCAGAGGAGGAAGAGATGATGACCTTCTCTGTAGGGTTGGGGGCCTTAGAGGGATCAGCTGGCCACAGCCTTGGATCACAGCTAATAAAAATAGAGCACCAGAATAGTGAGGAAAAAGACTCCTTATAAGCTATTCTCATGCCCTGGCCCCTGCCATTGAGCCGTGTTACCAGTCAGCTCCTCCTTCTGACATCATTCATTGGCTGAGCAAGTGTGATGGTCAAACTGCAGCCCAACGACTGTGCAAGCCCAACGAGTTTCCAGGGCTCTATCCATGCACGCCCACTAGCCAGGGAGGTCATAGCCCCTAACAGACAGCTTGCATTTCCAGAATCCTAGCTTTACTGATGAAAATGTCCTTAGCACCTGCTGCCAGTCCCCCAGGCTTAACCTGAAAAAGTAAAAATATCAATAATCTGTCTTTCCAAGTATCCTCTTACACCCACCCAACTTGAATTCACCTTTTGATTTGAGCTATGAACTTGTGATAAAACCCAATCAAGAGACGGGCTGTGAGAAAAATACACCAATCTACCTACAGGGCATATCTTACTGTAGTGTGCTTTTGAATGAATTTTATTTTCTGCATTTCTGCTTCTATTGTGCAAATATTGATAATGACACTCAGTCTTTTAAGATTGGAAAATACAGCCCTAGCCAGTTTGGCTCAGTGGACAGAGCATCCATCAACCCACTGACTGAAGAGTCCTGGGTTCAATTCTGGTCAAGACCTTGGTTGCAGGCTCCAATCTACTCAGGGCTCCTGTGGGAGGCAACCAATCAATGTGTCTCTCACATTGATGTTTCTGTCTCTCTCTCTCTCCCTCTCCCCCTCCCACTCACTCTAAAAATCAATGGAAAAATGTCCTCAGGTGATTTTTTCCAGCATATATCTGAATTGGGGACCTCTGTAGCAGTGAGTCAAGTACACCATATTTATTATAGTCTTCGTTTGGGCCCTGGCATATAAGTAAATCTGCTGCCATTCCCATTTTTTGATGCACGCAAAAATCTCAGAAATAAAACAAAGGTGCTCTCAACATTGCGATGTTATGGCTAAAAGCAATCAGCTGCTTCCTGATTTTGTATAAATCCTAACAACCTAAAAATCCAAACATTTGTAATTGGTTATGGGTTTTAAGATCTTTACATTTATAGATATGGTGTGTGTGTGTGTGGGGGGGGCACAATTGTTAAGCAGTGATAAAAGCAAAATACTAAACTACATATGGTGTGATTTGGGAAAATCTATTATGTAATTTCATTGCCTAGAGACCCAGGAATTCCCAAATCCTGTCTTTCTCCTACCACATCTCTTTCCTGTAAGGTCTTGAAGGAAAATAAATACCTGTGGAAAATGAAATGGCAAATGTGAAATAAAATAGCACTTTAGTGTTTATTGTGATTGTGCCTTTGTGCCCAGAGCAAAACCTCTGATAAATTGAGTTTATGGGCCCTCCTCCTCATACCAATTTCAAATCAAAATCTTAAAATCGAATTACCTTGTAAGCAACTGTACCATGTAGAAGGCTTGAGAGGATGATCTTACCTATAAAAAAAAATAAGCCCACCTTGGGAGTGTGACCTCCTCTCCAGTCAAGGTGGAGCATGGCCTGGGTCATTTTCCCATCCTGCTCTTGGAAGTGAAAGCAACAGCTTATATAGAAGTCCTTTCTGAGTGAGGTACTCCTGCCCTCTGCCCTCCCTCTCCCCTTCTTCCTACCCCACCTTCTCCCATCCTTTCCATTCTTCACCCTCCTTGTCCATTCCTCCCCTTTCCCCATTCTCCTCTCAACCCCTCTCCCCCCACCTCTCTACCTTCCTCCCCCATTCTCCTTTCCCTTCCTCCTCCTTCCCACCCTCTTCCCTTTATACTTTCCTCCCATTCCCTTACTCTTCCCTCCTCCTCACTCCACTTACCTCATTCTCCCCTCTCCCTCTCCACTTTCTCTTATCCCACCTTCCTCCATTTTCCCTCCCCCTCCCATCTCCCCTTGTTTTCTTTCTCCCTGGTCTTGTTTCCTCCCCAGTCCCATTTCTCTGCCTGTCCCCCTCCCACTCACTCTAAAAATCAGTGGAATTTCCAGGGAAATGTAGAACAATGTTATAATAGTTATATTTTAAAAATCCATTTTAAAAAAATCCATTTTCCTCAGTATTTCTACTTTTTCTATAATAAGCACTACTTTTTATAATCAGGAAATAATGTTAGATTTTTATAGCATGATACACTTTATTTGACATTTATTTATTTTAGGTTGCAATAGAAGTACATGAAAATATCAAGTGATGTAAAGTGATCATTTTCAGTGAAAGGCAAAGTAGAACATATTACAAATGTTGTTAGTAACTTTACAATTACACAGCATAAAATGAAGAAACTTTTTAAAATACTGTGTCATATTAATACCTCAGTGGTAAGCAATTACTTCATTATGATTAAATTTATAGAACACTCACATAAATAAAATCATAGTCATATGTATAGTCTGTATGGACATTCTTAAATGTATGCTAATTTTTGCAAGCAAATTTCACAATGCACTGTTCTAGTTAATATAAGTACTGTATTTCTATAGCAAAATAATGAAGGCACAGCTAGTGCAAGCAGATTTAAATCCTTAGACTTCTGGGCTGGAAAAAATAACAACACCTGGTACTTCAGGAACATTGTTTTGTTCAAGCAAATATTTGTCTCAGTTAATTCTGACAGTTTTCACAGATACAGTCTAGTAGGAACATGACAAAAGGACTTCACAAAAATAAAAACTCTGTAGCACCAAATTGACATGCTTTAAATAACTGACAGCAGTTTACAGGTTTTGGAGAATATCACACAGCAACAGGCTATATAGAATAAAGTGATACTTAGACATTGTAAGATACTTTTTTAGACTACTAAGAAAATACAAAAACACAAGACTGTAAAGAACACTAGTAATGAGGTGATAGAGCAGGTTTCACTTCTTCTTGAACTTTTGAGATCTTGAAAATTCTTTCAGGCAGCCTCTTTATTTTCTGTATTTCCTGTTTCCATAATCTTTACCATTGTAATAGGCACGCTTGACTTCTCCTGTAAAGTAATAGATTGATTTCAGAATGACATTATCATGTAAAATTTGACCAATTTCAAAGTCTTCATCAAGGATAGCATCTTGTCGTGGCTCCAGCTTTCCAATCTTAGGAATCTCAGGAGGGCTGAAGAAATTGAAGAATGATGAGTTAGGAACCACTCTTGGCTTGAATTCAATTTCTCCAGTGGCAGTTGTGCGACTGTAGGTGGTTGTCAAGGTAACATCCTTTCCTCTTCTCCAATCTATCTTACAGCCTTTGCAATCATAGATTTCCCATCCCCAAGTGAAAAAGGGATCATTGTAATCTGGCTTTGACTTTATGATATATGTCTTGGTCAGCACCTCATTTCTGAAGTATGGATTGGGCAGAAAATAAAAATTAATTGTGTAACTTATAGGCTGGCCACGTTTTGAGAACTTCAGGCTGATATCTGACAAGAACTTCAGTATGGGCTCATCATACTTCTGAATCAAGGGCCCGAGCTTGTCAACATTCTTTAAAACAGTCAGCCAATAGTTGGGGATGCCTTTAGGTTCTTCTTTCTTAGGCTTTCCCTTACGAGCTCGTTTCAGATTCACTCTTTCTTTAGGCCTGACCTCATGAACTCTTTTAGGAGCCTCTTTTACTGCAGCCCTTTCCTTAGCCTCTGCTGCTTTAGGCTGTTCTTTTTCTTCTGCGTTTGCCTGGGGGACTTCTTTAGGCTCTTCATTTACTTCAGTCTTTGCCTCCAGAAGATCTTTCGATTGGGCTTTTTCTTCAGCCTTTGTCTCAGGAATTTCTTTAGGAACCTCCGTTTCTTCAGCCTTTACCTCGGTTTTTTCTTTAGGATCCTCTTCTTCCTCACCCTCTAAGGCAGGCATTTCACTAGGGCTGTCGTCCTGCACCTCTTCATCACTGCTGAACACCTCATCATCTGAATTCCATTCACATTCTTCTATTGTGGGCTCATATTCTGCATTTATGATTTGAGATCGCCGATCATATAGAGGCTTATTGAGATCGGCATATTTTCTTTCAAGACCATGAATTGCCTTTAAGAATAGGGCGTCTACCTTGTCACATTCATCTTGAATGTTTCTGAGCGCCTGCACACGATTTCGAACCGCCTGTGGCAGCCGATCCACAAAACTGTTACCCGACGGAGCCCACCGCGCCCTTCTAGAAGGCTCAGGTACCCTCCTCTTTCCATAGAAGCGGCTGAGACTACTGCTGCCGCTGGTGCTGCTGCTGGTGGTGGTGGTGGTGCTACTGCTGCTGCTGCTGCTGCTGCTGCTGCTGCTGCTGCTGCTGCTGCTACTGCTGCTACTGCTGCTGCTGCTACCAGTGCTGCCGCTAGAGCTACTGCTGTCAGATTCTTCCCCGGAATCACTGGACAAGCTAGCCTTCACCTCTTCAGCGACCCCCTGGGCGGCAGGTTCCGAGACCATGTTAAGATCCGCTTCTGCCATTTTGCAAGCCTGCAACCCTCTTAAGGTGACAACTACCGCTGAAACCGCGCGCCCAGAGAAGGGCAGAAAATGACTCACGGATGCTTGGCCGGCGGAGGCTCCGGATGAGGAGGCGGTGCAGCAACTACAGCAGCCGGCGCAGGGCTGGCGGGCTGGACAGCGGCGAGAGATGGCGTGAAGGCAGCGAGCAGTGGCCGCAGACCTGTGCGAGAGCAGCGGTGACAACGCTCTCCCGGCTGCCGCAGCGGCGGACAGAGGCGTGAGGCAGCTGGATGGTGCAGTGTGAGACCCCGAGATCTCTCCAATGTTTTGATCGCAATCCCCCTCCCCTTTCAGTTCTACCTCCCGTTAATTTAGTTCCCAGTGTTCCTTTAGCTGGCACCTCATTTGCTGGGCATGCTTGATTGACAATAGCTAAGCCCAATGAATGACCAAACACTATTCCCCCCCTCCAGGCTCCGCCCACCTTCCCAGACGCTCCTCGGTAGCTGAGGCACACACCCCTGGAAGACGTTTTTCCCCTCAAAATTCTATCTTTATAGTTTTATAATTTAAAAAGAAAAGCTTAGATAAGTGGTAAAAATACTAGCCATTGTTTCTAACAAGGGAAGAGGAGTGTCCTCCCGTCTGCTCATCCAGAACTCCTGTCTGGCCTCTCACAAAAACCTGTTTTTAAACAATTGGATGAAAATACTCCAAATGGCATCATTGGGCAGTGTGATTATGTATGCTTTTTAAAATCTCTTTATCGAAATATTCTATGAGCATGTATTTTTACACTGAAAATAAAGGGGCAGTCGTTTATTGGCAAAGGAGGGAGGGGCTAGAAAGCAGGCATATTGCATTCCACGTAGCAGTTTTAATAAGTGCTGTCTGTGATGTCTGGCAAGCCTGGTTTATATCCATCTACAAGGTTTGCGAACCCATGTTGCCGTGAGTCAGTTACACCATTTTTACTATATTTTTCTTTTTAAGCTGGCATATAATATACCCAACCTTGCTGATGACTTGCCTCGTAGCCTTTCTCAATGCTTACAACAGCCTTGTAGATAAAATAAAAGAGTATTCATTGTTAGGTAGTATTATTTAAAGGCAGACTGTTTGCTCTATACTTTTTTTGCAGCAGTTTTTAATTCCAGGAACAGCAGGATGGGAGGGGGGATTTGTGCTAGTGAAAGCGCATCCTCGATCAGGCTATACTTTACAATGTCTTCTGCCACCAATTTCCTTCTAACATTGTGAATGCTAGCCAAACTGTAGTATGATTTACAAATTCATTAATATGTGAATAAACTTTTGCAAAATGAACTTTAAAAACAGGTATGTGTTATTTTTATTTACAGGATTCTTTTCTGCTACAGAACAACTCCCTTGGTACAACCCAAAAGACCAGTGTTTACTTTTCATTGAAAGGTAAGGAACATATTTTAGCCCATTTTTATGAATGACAAAAATTACCTATCTGTATATGAGTAAAATTTCACAGGATGTCATCTTTTAAAGACTTAATTGGAAGATATTTTGATATTTCTAGGGAAGCAGAAAAGTCCACAGAGGTGATTTGATCTACTGATGTAGAAAATAACCTAATTACTCACATTCACTATCTAAACCTGCTCACGAATACAAGTAGTAAATCAAAAAATAAAATGTGTTGAATTAGATTAACCTTTGTGTTATTTTTTATTATAAGATTTGTGCTTTGTCATTTAGTCATCATAAGTTAGGGAATACTTTTATTTTCTATTTTGTAAGTGATTTTTATTGCTTATTTCTGATTGTCAAAGTATAGAAGCATTTAAAAATATATAATATAGAAAATTTCAATGAGTAAAAATGCAGTCTTAGCAACCAAATGATAAACATTGTTAGCATTTTGATGCATTTCCTTCCAGAAATATCTTTGTACAAATACACACCAGCCTATTTAGATATGCTGTTTTATCTATGTGACATCACATTAAATTTTGCAATCAGCGCATTTATCAATTAATATCAACTATATATTCATGGTAAATGATCAACATCTTATTTTAAAATAGATTCATATTCCATGAAAACATTTACCTCAATTTATTTGACCAGAGTCCTGTTGTAAGGCAGATACTTCCCACACCACCTCTCCACTAACATACATATTTTTTCCTGTTATTAAAAATATTTAATTCTGCATACTTACTACACAGGCTTGTAACAGTCATAGGATGAATTCCTAGAGATAGGAGTGCTAGAATAAATTGTACACTCATTTTTTCTTTGATACATATTGCCAAACTTTTCTACAGAAAAGTTATCTCAACTTACAGTCACAGCAAGAATGCATATGAGCTAATTTATTTAGTCATTCAGCTAATATATTTTTGTGGCTACCATCTGCCAGGCGCATGTGGTAGAAGATGGTGATATAATGGTGAATAAAATTTACTATGTGTATCCTTTCATTTCATACTTTTACTCAAAACATATACTATGGAAATCAGTGGGATTATGCCACAAATATTGTTCTATAACTTATTCTTATTTAAATGATGAATATCTATTTTAATGACTGCTCTTATATTTTATAGTACTTTAATGGTTTAAAATACATGTTAAATTTTGTAACATCAGGAATAAGTATTTTGTAATAAGTACTGAGTTACATATACATATGTGTGTGTGTGTATATGTGTGTGTGTATGTGTGTGTGTGTATTAGCCAGCATATATATATTATAATTTTCTTAGTGCCATTTATTTTATAATCATATTGTCATACACTTATTTGAAAAATATCACTTTTATCATATTAACTGAATTGCTTGGTTTTGTTTCTGAATTTTCTTATCTGTTGGCCATAATGTTTTTGCAAACAATTATTGAGGCATTTTTTACTAACTTTATATTTTGTCAAAATTATATACATTGGAAAAAGTCAGATAGTACATTGAAAGTCACATAAGAAATTAAAAGATACTCAAAACAGCCCTGGCCGGTGTGGCACAGTTGGTTGGAGCTTCCCGTGCACCGAAGTGTTGCCAATTCAATTCCTGTCAGGGCATATGCATAGGTTGTGTATTCGATGTTTGTCTCATACCTCTCTCTCTCTCTCTCTCTCTCTCTCTCTCTCTCTCTCTCCCCCCCACACCCCTCTCTCTAAAATCAGTATAACATATCTTGGGATGAGGGTTAAAATAAAGTAATTCAAAAGACACAGAGAGGAGACCATTATTCACATTTTTAATGAATATCTCCAAATTAACTTTTTATTATTATGTATTTGTATTTCCTAGATTCGTGATAAGATTAAATGTCTTTCTATATGTTTATTGCTTATTTGAGCATTGCTTTTTCATATCCATTGCTTGTTTATCACTGAAATAATAAAGAAATTAATTGATGGTGAAATCCTATAGGTAAAATAATTTTGGCCTTGATTTCAGGCAATTGTGACTCTTAGAAAATACCCTTTTCTAACTTAATATTTGACAAAGATGGCCCAATTACAGCTTTCATTTTAAAATCTACTCGGAGAGTTGTTTAGATGCTTTTCAAGAATTAGTACTTAATCACTTAAACTGATACAGAAAAGTTTGGAGTGGAACAGAAAATAAAAAGAGACAAAAACTTGTGAAAACCTCATACAAAGATAATACATTAATAAACTATTCAAATTTTCAGTTTGGAAGTATTTTTTTTCATAAACCATAGAATATAGCTTACTTCTAACCACAACAGTCTATTTTTTTTTAAAAAATTACATTCAATATTATTTTGTATTAGTTTCAGGTGTATAGCATAGTGGTTAGGCGACAATAATATACTTTATAAAGTGTACCCCCCTATATTTCCAGTACCCACCTGACACCGTACATAGTTATATCAATACTAGAGGCCCGGTGCACAAAAATTTGTGCACTCGGGGGGGTCCCTCAGCCCGGCCTGTGCCCTCTTGCAGTCTGGAACCCCTCAGGGGATGACCACCTGCTGGCTTAGGCCCACTCCCCGCAGGATTGGGCCTAAGCTGGCATCCAGACATCCCTCTGGCAGCCTGGCAGCCCTCGGGGGATGTCCACTTGCCAGCGGGGAGCAGGCCTAAGCTGCAGTCAGGCATCCTTAGCGCTGCTGAGGCAGGAGAGGCTCCCACCACCACCGCTGTACTGGCAACTGGCAGCCTGGCTTGTGGCTGAGCAGAGCTCCCCCCGTGGGAGCACACTGACCACCAAGGGGCAGCTCCTGCATTGAGCGTCTGCCCCCTGGTGGTCAGTGTTTGTCATAGTGACCAGTCATTCCCAGTGGTTCTGCTGTTAGAATCGATTTGCATATTACCCTTTTACTATATAGGATTATTGGCTACTAGAGGCTTGATGCACTAAAGTCATGCAAGGGGCTCAGCCCCCGCTGCAGCAGCTGCCTCGGCCCCTGCCGTCAGAGTGGCCACCTCTGCCTTGGTCCCCACCACCACAGCTTCATCTGGAAGGTCGTCTAGGAGGACCTCCGGAAGAACGTCTAGTCTATTTAGCATATTACACTTTTATTATTATAGATATTTTCGATGCTGTACTTTACATCTCTATGACTATTTGTAACTACCAATTTGTACTTCTCAATTCCTTGACCTTTTTCACTCAGTCTCCCGACCCCCCTCCCTTCCGGTAACCATCAGTCTGTTTCCTGTATCTATGAGTCTGTTTCTATTTTGTTTGTGCCAAAAACATTAATCTGAAAGAATATACAGGGTTGGGCAAAGTAGGTGTACATCTGTGAGTACATGAAACACAGTTTGTTATTGTATTATTGATTTCTTAATTATTGTATTATTTATCTGTCTTATTAATGTTATTATTTTGTATCCTTACTTATGATTTATTTTTTTTAAGTGATGATGGCTGATAAGTTAACCTACGTTTGCCCACCCCTGTTTGCACCCCTGTGTTCATTGCAGCGTCATGTACAATAGGCAAGCTATGGAAGCAACCCAAGTGCCCATCAATAGACGAGTGAATAAAAGCTGTGGGACATACATACAATGGAATATTACTCAGCCACAATATTCTACTTTTAATGTATATGCACTGCTTTAAGAATCTAGTAACATTTATTTTGTAGCTTTTTTCAGTTTATTAGTTAATTTTATAATGGCAGGTACCTAAAGGAAAATATGTATTTTCTTCATATAATGAATTTATGCATACTACCATATATTTTCTACCATGAATATTTTATAAGAATTAGTTTTAGCACATACAATATTCTTATTTTTCCATAAGGCTATCTATAAATTACTTGCATAATCTCATATGGTCTCTCTTCCATTATTTTATATTTGGGTGGGTTATATGTTCATACTTCTATATGAGATGATGCTTAAC